TGTCACAAATTCTCCTAAATCACTCGTACGCACAACTTAACAACAAATCTGTGCGTACCAACGGTTCTTACATGAGGCCCAATGTCACTGAGTCAACAAAAACAGAAAAAATATTGTAAAATTACACTATATATTTATAARTTGCAGCTTGCTGTTCCTCGCTCTGAACAGGAATCATGGCTATACTGCCCCCTAAGGGTTGGGAGGATATCAATATTAAAAGAAAGGAAAACTGACACAATAGTTTTTAAAAATATTGATGTATTGCAGATGATGTAGWATCAACATCAAGAAATACCACCGGGGGGCAGGAAGTAAATCAGCCCCGTTTCCTCCTGTTGATTCAGCATCAAAATGCCTAAACTGTGCTGTGTACGGTTGTTGCAGCCGCGCCTGTCAGGAGAAATATAAAAGTTTTTTTTTCATGTTTCGAGAGTAGTGTTTCACAAGGGAGTTAATTTTGAAAAAAATAAAACTTACAGTAAAAAGACGACAAAAGTGGATCAACAATCTACGGCTAAAAACAGGAGGTGTAGAAACGAATGCAAGAGTTGCAGCGACCACTTTCTAACATATTTTCAGATATTTTCCTGAATAGTTACTTGAATTTGGGTTTACAGAAGCTAAAGTAGTTATTTAAAGGTAGTTCCAAGCTCATTGAAATAATGGGTTAACTTGTTGTTAGCGTTAGCATTGTTACCARAGGCTAATGACTTCAAATATCACAACCCACTGCTCACCCGGGCTGAAACAAGTCGACAGTCATTTAAAGTGTTTTTGGATCCTAAATGTTTGACTCAACCTGAAACTAAATAATTGCAACTTGGAGGCTTTTGAAAGCTTTCATCTGGCTCGTTGTATAATAAGAGCTCTGCAGCTCGATGCCAGTAAATCCTTCAGATTATGGTTCGTTTTTATTAAGACAGTATGAATCAGATCCTAAATGTACGCATTTTTTTTTTGCGATATCTTTTCTGTACCAGCCCATGTAGAGCATTAGCATACACGCTGTTATCCATTTCTCTGTATTTTGAACCGGAGCAAATAGCTTCTTTCCCCCCATCAGGTCACATGACTGTGGAGATCATTAAGAGTCGTTGTTGGGCGAAAAAAATCTTTCGTTAACACTAGGCCTGTCACGATAACAAATTTTGCTGGGCGATTAATTGTCTCAAAATTTATTGCGATAAACGATAATAT